CTTGTTCCGAAATCGAATTGCGTACCTGCTGTAGGAAGTTGCTGCGTGTTGGTCAGGGTGTGGGGAATTTTCTCAGCAACTGGCTCCTATTGCATGACGAGGTACCATGATATGTGGTAGGTTGGCGTCACCAAGGCAGCTTACTATGGGGTCTTATCTCGTACGTGTCCGGTGACATTGATAACATGTCGTCAGGAGCTAGCTGTGGGTTTTGATTAGACTATAAAAGACTGGACAAGCGCGGCTTGTCAAGCCTGAGCCTAATCAACAGCTTTCTATTCAATGACGGCAGACTTTCCCACCGTCATCCACACGCGATTGAGGCGTCTACATTGGCCCATTAAACATCAACGGCTGGCGCGATGATAAACGGATGAGTCCTGCAGATTCGTCCGTTACTGGCGGTAACGTACCATGAGTCCGATTACTCAATAAGCAGTCGCCTAGACATTATTACGAAACGAAATACGACCGAATTTGGCGCTCACTTTCATGAGAACTGCTGGTAATGACATGATTAACAACTCTACCGAAACAGCCGCTTTACTGACGAGTAGTGCTCCGAACGACGATCAAATGGTCAAGGGCCACTATTTTGGGCGACACTCAGCTTTCCGCTAAAGCCTTGAGATTCCTAATGTCGGACCATCATTCGCGACAACTCAGAAACATCAATGCAGTCGTATACCGTAAGGTTGTTGGTGGGATTGCACCGATGAGAGATCTACCTGCCCGATACAAGGGTAGGCGCGATAACAACTTGCAGACCGCCTTGGCTCCCAGATCAGAGATCGCTACCTGTTGTGCCATTCCGCGTACCGTCTATAAGGAACCTGAGCCAGTGAGTCGATTCAGATGTGAAGTTCAGAATTCTTGCATCAGGTGTGTTCAACCACTAAATCGATGCTGATGGCTTCACCACAACAACACGACTGATTTATGAGCCATGGCTAAGGACTCAGGAAGTACGCGAGTCTCAGAATCGAATGGTACAATGCGCGTTTCGTTAGTGACAAAGGGCGGCGCAGTTCGACGTAATGCCACAGTCTACTGCGACGTGAAATAACCGAACTCCATCTGCAGCGACTCATCTGTTTATCATCGCGCGCCACCGCCGATGTTTTAATGGTGTCAATGTAGACGCCTCAATCGCGTGTATATGACGCGTGGGAAAGCCTGCCGTCATTGATAGGAAAGCTGTTGATTAGGCTCAGGCTTGACAAGCCCGCTTGTCCAGTCTTTTATAGTCTAATCAAAACCCACAAGCTAAGCTCCTGACGAACATGTTTATCAATGTCACCGGACACGTACAAGATAAGACCCATAATCAGCTGCCTTGTGGACCAACCGACCACATATCATGGTACCCATGCCAATAGGAGCCAAAAAATTCCCCCACACCTTGACCAACACGCACCAATTTCTACAGCAACTACGCATTCGATTTCGGAACAGATTGTTAGCAGAGTCATTTTGATGTTATGCACTTTACAAGAACGTCCAAAACGAACAAGCGCTACGGGCCTTATCCGAAATGTTGGATATTTTTATGTTACGGCCATGAACACCTTTGTACTTAACAAAGTGCACGTCATGACGCTGGTTGAAGAATGCTTGCGTTGCAATATCTTTCAAATGGTCAGGACAATATTTACTCTCAAGTAAGGGGTTTGGCATGGGTCAGCGACTAGCACCTGTGCTTGCTGTCTGCTGAGCAGAATTGAAGAACCAGTACTGAGTCGCTCTCCTTTGATGTACTGCAGGTATATATCAACGACTGCTCCATTATAACATCAACACAATCCGAATGGATGAGTGTTTCCGATTACTCAATGAGCAGTCGCAGTACATTAAGCCTCACGCGAGAAGTACCAAAACACGGTTGGCTACCATACACTGAATACGCAGGCGAAGCTGTCCAACGGCATTGCTAACGTGAATTGTACCACAAACTTAGTTGTAAAATGATCCTCATTTCACGCAACTCTTCCCATCCTGCTGCAGTGAAAACGTGCAGTCATCAGGAACATGATCACAAACCACGATGTGTACAGGCGATGAGAACGACTAGAGTCAAGAGCTCTAGCTTCAAAAATTGCTGGAGAGAATGGTGATGCGGTACGAGACCATCGCAGACATCGAGTGCTAGCCTACGACATGTATCACGCCAGGGGAAGATACCCTTATGCCTTCCTTTTATTTCCGATGACATCAGCACTGAAATACGTCGCAGTAATGTTAGGGCACGATTACACGACGATGTTGTCTTGGTGAATATCCCCAACAGCAACATCAAACGCCAACCTTGCGCAACAGACAACTGTACGACAGACAGTGCTTGACACAGACTGCGTTATCTGCCCATATGGAAAGTCAGGAGATTGTGGGAAAGCTGGAGTAATTTATGAGCTTAATGTAGGGCGGTGTAACAGCACGAATATCGAGAAAACGGAAGGGTATTGCTACCCGCATTGGAGAACACCTAGCTGGGAAAAGGCGTGATATCAGGGACCACTCCCTTAGGCAAGCATAGGATGGAGCAGCATAACGAAACGACTTTGATGTTAAATGTGTTATGCTGGCGTACGCAGACGGAAACTTCAGCCAGGAAAGTTCTGGAATCATCCTGGATTTTCGCAGAAAACCAAGAATGAACAACCGAAACGAGTGTCTGGCCATTACAAATGAATTCTGCCGTTTGTATCAGAGTGCGAGCTACAGTAAGAACTACGTGCGCTATGGCAATTTTGTGTTATGCGACACAGTGAGACACAAGTCAGTCTCATTCGTCCTTACTGGTACAACTAACTCACTGCGTGAGCTGAGCTCCGCACGGTGATACCTCGGTGAGTTGTTAGGATTCATTGCCGGGTTTTTGGGAAGCGTTCGGGAAACGAGGTCAGAAACGCTAGAGTGGGAGGGGCGTTTGGTCGGGTAGGTAACAAATTAAAAGCCTCGAGCCATTTTCAGGCCTCTGAAGAAGACTAGAAGGTCGAAACGTTAGGCCAGTAAAGGTGTCATCTAAAAACCTCGTTTGGCAGAAGTATTTAAATATTCGACATCATGCCGAGGTTACAATAAGGGACAACGTGGAGATTATTGTACTTTGGAGGGTTTCTTGCTGAGCACCCTTCATGCGATGCCTGGAGAAACTACTGTTAGGGTAGGAAGATGCACTGAGGTAAGGATAAGGATGATAGTGAAGGAAGACAGGCATTGCTCTAAGTAATTCCACCGATAAGGACATCAAAGCCTGCTCCATTATCTCCTGTTGTGGTGAACTCAGATAAATTATCAGATATCAGATAAATTAGCTGGTTATAGTCAAGCTGTTTCCCCACTCTTACACCGCGCAGCCTCATATTTTACAAACACCAGGGATTTCATTACAAGCCTGGACCACAGCCATATACTCACTAATGCGTATTATGCTAGCTTCGATGCTGTTACGCTGTACACCACTGTCAACACTCGAGATGCGATAGAAGCTTTGTTAGTCCTGTGGAGGTACAAAGAAGAAACGTACACCTTTGGCTTGGATAAAAACGACCTCAAGGATTTACACAAGGCGACTCTGGAGAGCAACACATTCCATCTTCACGGAAGACTTTATGTCCAACATCGAGGCTTAGCCATGGGATCACGAATAGCAACACTTCTGGGCATTGTGTACCTGGACTTCTTAGAACGAAGGTCGCTGACAGCTGGGATAATTTTTTTCGACGACGTAATTATAACTTTTCCTAATTCTTCCCAAGTAGAATTAGGAGGAACACATCTCACTTTCATTTCTCATCTCACTTCACGTAGGAGCCCAGCATCAAGTTTACTGCGGAAAACTCAAACAATGCGAGGATCTGTTCCATTCTTAAACACAAAAAGTTCGGATTAGGAACGGAAAGACGGAGCTATCCCGGTATAGAAAGCCAGTTTAAAAGGAAGTGCTGCGGCACGCTAGAAGTTGTCACCGCCTGTATATGAAAGTCAATGTTGTCCGAAACTGGTAATCACGAAGGAGAAAATTCGTACCCAACAATCATCAAACGTGGATTCGATGGTGGACAATATTTTGAAGGACAACGGTCGCACAAGCACTGACACTCACACATGGAGACCACATGCTGCGGATGGAATCACCGTGTTGTTGCCGTATCTCAATGAAAGCACAGTATCAAAAGCAAATAATAAAGTAAAAAGCTCACCACTTCCGGTACGTTTAATATTCCGTCCTCCACCAAAGTCAAAACGCCTTCTTACTTTTTAAGGCCTTATGAAGATAGGTGTGGATGGGCAAGTTGTAGTTATTGTTATGACCTCAAAATTTCTCAACTCAGAAACAGTTAACTTGGTAGAGTGTCAAGGATGTGGGCAAAAATATGTGGGGAAAACTGTTAGGCCCTTCTGCAAAGGTGCCGGGGAGCGCTGGGAAATCCACCTTCCTACCCTAAGTGAAATTGTGAATGAGCACCTCATCAAAAACCACCGCCCTAATCATCAAAATACTATAACTCAGTAGAAAACGCAATAGAAAAAGTGGAAACCTAAAGGAAAATACTGGAGGCCCTGAAAATAAAACGGCTACCGAAAAAAAAACAGTGACGAACTGCGTGACGTAATGCAAACCATCAGCTGAGCAGTGTCACGGTATCCTATTATTTAAGGATATGAACAGGATGAGTTGGCCATTCCCTGACTGTGGGGTAATGGATTGGTTGGGGAGCAGTCCTTGTAAATTAGATTTTTTTACAGGTATACTGTGCAACAAACAATCCAAAAATTTTAAGCCTGACGGGCACCGAAATATCGCAAGTTGATTGATTTTGAACTATAGAGACTTGATGTTTTGAGTTTTTTGGAATAAACGTTCGGAGTACCACCACGTTACGTACTGTTTTTAAAAATTCAGATAAAGTCAGACTCTGCGACAGCACAAAACTCCGACAGGTTTTTTCACTGCAGATGGTGTACGCTGCGTTGACAAAATGAAAAATCAACGTGCTTCATTCTTTAAGTGAAAAGGGCGTCACTCCTCTGTTCAATGAGGCTAATGCGGGTGACCGTGAGAAAAGGGTCACTTCTGGCAGAAATGAAGCACCTACCGTCATGTTGGAGTAGACTTGAAAAATAACCCACTTCAGCTCTCTTAGATGCTCCTTTGATTTCATAAATCTCCAGAAGTTCCACTTCAGCAAGTGATAGGCTCTATTCAGTACCTAAAGTTAATCTCGCTAATCTCTACGTCTTCAAAGAAACAAGCAATACAGTCCTCTACTAATTTGTTTTAGACTAATCTGTTTCAATAGAATCTGTTTTTTTTTGCACAAACTGCTCTCTGCAGGCAGGGTTCAGCATCGTGATATGCATGATGGTGTCAGCAGACCCTTCCTTAATCCCCCTTTCAATGCTGCTCCCCTGACAATTTTTCCACCACCTTGCCAAATTCTTCATTCCCTATCGATTTTCTAAAGATGTCACCGTTTTTTGGCCAAAAATGTAGCCTTCTCCGACCAGACCAGTGCAGAAGGGGCCCCTTCCATTTAACTATCGGAACTTTTGCGGCATAACCAACAAAAGGAAAACGGAAAAAATTAACAACCAGAACATTCTCTCTTGTCGCTCTGAAAAAATCTCTCTCAAGGCCAAATACGACCCACCCCCCCCCTTGCCTAGCGGCAAGAAATACACCTCCTGATGGTTTCCCCAATGACATTGTATTCCGCCTACGGGATATTCAGTGTCTCGCTTTTCTGCGACCGCGCCAGAAATGAACGTCATTGCATCGATGGACTGCTGGTTACTTCCAAACGTGTTTATAAACTCTGCCGGTGAAAAAGGTAATACAATAGTCAGCAGAAATGAATGGCAAACCGAATATGGGCAGCATTCTGGGCAACCAACATTACTCTCGAAGTTCTAACAACCCCCTTTTCTGAGGTTCCGGATTTGTAATACACAAATAGTGCCAAGAAGGTGCACAGTGGCGTACCTGTGGGAGACCATACATCTCTGCCAGATTGAGGTATCGCAGCACGTTGCTTGGTAAAATATTTTCGGCCATTGCATCACCACATCGCTCCAGCACACTTTCCTGTAATTGCGTACTTTTTGAAGAAAAGTATGAGTCACTGTAGGAAATAAAAAGTAGGATAAAAATTTCGCCGTTAATCCCTTTTGGCATTTTTTAAGGCGGTTCACTTCCATTCAGAATCGTAGTTAGCTTTCTTGAATGCGATGGCCTATACGATGTCTTGCGAGGGCCACCCGTTGCATAAAGCAATGTTCTTCTCCTCCTAATGTGGAAAGAATTTAATGTTGGAGGAGAGAGAAGACTTGTTAAGCACAGTAGGGAGCCGATTGAAATTGAACCCCTGACCTCGCGCGTAGTAAGCGTGCTACTTGCCTCTACAACAAGTCCTTTTCGGAAACTAACAGCACTCAAATAAACCCCTCCAAAGGGAACCGAAGATCCGTTCACAAGAGTTACCTGTCGGACCAGCGATCTGAAATTTTGCTAAAACAGTCAAAAACATTAGAGGCAACAACTGACCAACTGGAGAACTGATGCAGCAGACAGGACCCCTTCCACTTTATCCAAGTCGAGTTCAATTTGATTGTGATAGAGAGAGCCCAACACTGCATGAAGACCTGAAAATGGCTAAATTTCAGGGCTATCTATGCACAGAAATTTGCAACATTGCTGCAGTCTGGTCTGCTTTTGTGGCGACAACAAAGATTGTCTAGTACGTGTAAATCATCGTCTTCTGAATTTTTACAAGTGTTCATGCTCAGAAGTCTGTACGAACTATAAAATCGTCCACATGATTTACGCGAGAAGAGAAGGAAAAGAAAAAGAGTGGTGAAAGGGTTGTATTCAGAAGTTGGCACAGTTCGGCATTCTGTGACACACAATGCTTCTCAGCAAAGCTAGTTCAAACCACTGCGGAAGACCTGCTAATTCCTGGAACCGAAGCGGGTCATTTATAAGATTCCGCAGCTCTGCACAAGTTTACAGGTCTCACTGAAGTGTAATCCGCTAACTAACATGAACTAGCAAAGCAAAATGCTCACCCCCACTTCCAAGCCGAACAGCGCCCCGTACCTATCCCATTAAGCAAATTTAAATTTAGCCTGAGGGTTGGCGAGACAATGATGATTGGTCTTAGGTAACTGGCGAAACGGACCATCTGCGCTTTGGTGTTTTCCTTTTCCAATATTTTGTTATCTTTTCTGTTTCTAATTACTAAAATTCCGTTGAACGAGAGTGCGACTGTTACAATGATACATGGAGTATATCGCTAGCCGTTGTTGACACAAAATGTGCTACCAAAAGCAGTAAACCAAGACACTCGCAATCAAATAAAACCAGCATGTGGGAGGCTTCTAGTCCACTTCTCCCCCCCCCCCCCCCAACTCCCCGCCACCTCCAAATCCGCCCAGCCCAGGGCACGATCAACTACCAAAAATAGTAAAACTACAAAACTACCAAAAATTGTAAAACTGCGAAATCAATGACAGGGCGGTCAAGCAGTTTGACAAAAGACCAAATGCAAACTTTTTTGGTGCGAAATCTACTGAGGCGATGGTCTTTCTAGACGACCCACCAGAATCAACTCGACGTTGTAAGAACTAGTAAAGAAAAGTGCAGATATAACAGCATGTGGTGCACTATGTCCAAATGAAATCGCGCAGTTCTCAGCAAATGGCAACTAACCTTCGCGAGTGACATTTTCATCAGGGAAGTTGAGATGGATGACATCGTCTTTAGAGTCTTTCCAATTTCCTTGCATCAAAACCTTGAAAAAAAGTCAGAAATAAACGAGGGAAATTAAGACAAAGGAAAACCCTGCTAAGTAAAACTGTGACAAACCTCGAAATACTTGCATTGTCTCAAGTACAACTTATGAAGGTGCCACACATGGCCAACGGCGTGCACTGTGACATCGGAACCTTCCCCCTAAACCCACTTAATTTGGAACGATTTAAATAATTTAGCTGAATTGGAGGCACTGATGTAGCATTTGCACTGAATGCAGTACGTTATCTGATAAGAGGTGGACGGCATATCACTGGCGATTTCCTGAATATTAAGGCTGCGTTCATGCTTTACCACTGAGGAGGTACAACGATTCGAGAGCCTGCGAGACAAGGAAATCATATGTGATATAGTGAGTGCGACACAGCGATCCAGCGATTTGAGAGACTCGGCGATCGGGCGTTTTGGGAGACTGCGAGATCGCCGAATCTTCGCAGTCGCTGGCGACATGCTGATCTAAACCATACTCCTCTTTGCCGTGCAAACGCCGAAAATGCTGAGACTCCCAAATCGCTGTATCGCTCAATTTAAATTTTTTTTTCAATTTAGCGGCAAGAATAGGATACTTGTGCTTTCCTCGTCGTGCAATCTCTCAAATAGCTAAATCTCTTCAGTCGCAAAGTATGAAGGCGGCCTAACGTATTAAGCGATATTTAATCTTACTAATATTTTAGAAGGCCCCTCTCTTACAGACAACAGACTGCTACACCAGCGCTGAATTGGAACAGGTACTGCGAGATTTGAAAAAAGGGTTTAGTTGATAGCTAACCACCTACCTGCAGAAATAAGCGCTCATAAACATATTTAGCCGTGTCAAGCTTGGCGATTTTCATCGGTGGGCTTTCAACAGCGCCATTCTTTCGCCTTTTGCGCCCATCCGATACGTTTGAAGTTGATTCCGACGGTATATCCTCATACCCAACGAGACGATCTAAAGAATTGCCCATCCCTGCAACAAGAAATGTTGCTATTCTCTTGAGATAATAGTTACCGAGATAGGCTCTCAAGTAAAAATCATCAAGTTTCGAAACAAAGCAAGATCGATGTGTGGTTAAGATACAAGTATCGAAAGGTAAGAAGGACGAAAGTTGGAAAGAAAGTCCTGCAGCAGCATTTATTCTACAGTATTTCCACAAGTCCGGTTACCAGGTAAAATATTCGCGATGCAATGGAAGAAATTCACAAGCATACTGGGTATTAATGGACTTGGCTGCCTAGCGTAAACCACGTCACATTAGCCGACTGGATCTCTCAAGGAGAGCAGCTGTCTGCAGAGGCAAAAGAACATTTTTCCATGGAAAAACGGTCTCATTATGTTGCTAGTGGGGCTGGAAATGAGCGCTGCAGGATAGTGGTACAACAGTGACGGCTAGCACAGTCTACTCTGATCGACTTCGAAAAATGCTCGACGTCACATGTGAACTCGCCCAAAAAGGCCGACTACCTCCCGATGGCCAGAGCCTGCATACGGCAGAAAGCATGGAGAAAAATTTTGGATCGTGGTGGGACTTATGTACTCAGCGATTCGCCGACCCAGCAGCTTCTGACTACCACCTACTATACCTGTATGATAGATGAGTTCATGAAATTCTGTTATTCTACCATATTTTGATCCGGTTCAGAGGACTTGAATCCTTACAGTAAGTCCAGATCGCTTCCTTTTAATCTCGGCATGTATGAATGGCATGAATATCATAATAAGCCTAACTATAAGATTGCTGCACTCTTTTCTTTGAACTCGCCGAAGCCTGAAAAGTCTGCAATCATTAGAAGTTGGTATGCTCAAAAACCCACAAACTTAAGAATACAATTCCGTAGTCTAGTTTCCGACGATTTAAGCGTAGAATAGTTTTATGAAAGACAGTTTGGCTTTTCAAGCAGACCAGTTTCAATGTTTCCCGACTTTTCAAATTCTGAAGAAGGCGAAAGAAGCAATTTAAGAGACACCTGGAGTTGCTTTACCACAACATTCATACGATTTACATATATTAACCTTTCAAATGAAACAATATCATACATGCCGGTCGAAACAATCAAAGCTGATTAGTGAACTACGTAGTAATAAACGGACTTTTATAAACATTGCTGAAACAATTCGAGATTCCAAAAGACTTGCTGAAAAGATACCGAAGCCTTTCCGAAAAGCTAAAGAATAGTTAAGCCTACTAAAGCGGGCATCTGGGGCGTAGCATTTTGCAAAGCCTTAAAAATTAAAGTTTTTCTTTAGTCAGGCTGATGGGTCGACTAACCCATTGAAGTACGCTGATCGCTGATGTAGCTGCCTTTACAAAATGCAATTCCAAACTTTAACTTCCGCTAAGAGTGGAGCAAATCCTTGTAAACACTGCATAAACAGGCCAGTCCTAAGCGTAAGATGAGGATGAACCGCTACATTATATCGATGAAGGAGGAGTACTGGCGGGGTGCAACTACAAGGAGTCGCTGTCAAGAAAAAGCTCTTTTAGTACATACATGTTTACTTCCGACTAATGTAAGAGTTGGCAGTTTGCCTCATGTTTTACAGCGGAAAGGCGATCAGCTGATTGCCCATAAAAGTCTGCAAATGCATCCTCTACACCGCCCTTCGCGGCATGTGGCGAAGCCATAGGTTAGTGTTGAACGCGTTCGTAGAAGACCCTATACAACCACTACAGAAAGGAAGGATCTGTGGACAAGGTACCCCCCCTAGTTGGTGGCGCTGCCAAAGTGCTATGCAACTACTATTTCCGATAGTTGAAGATAGTAGTTGGTTCATGACAACCTCCCATCCTCCACCTCGACGGAAAATTTTTGGTTTTTATAAAATGCGGGGAATTTGAAAAACTGGTAGGAAGCTGGGAACTTGTAGGAAAGTGGTAGGTAAGTGTTGGGAAGGGGTCGTACCGGACCCTCTTCAGAGTGGGGTGGGGTCGTACCGAAACCCTCCTTCGCGGGCAGGGGGGGGGGTCGTACTGACACCACCATTTCATATATCACAATGATGTACCCTGTCTGTAGAGGGAAGAAAGTATACGCATCGATTTGAAGAAATGCAGAATCCGAGAAATGCCAGAAAAGGGCTGATATCAACCGATTGCTCTTTTAGTGAGGGTCCAGAGGTGGTTTTTAATCGGATCTTCTCGCCGAGCACTTGTAGGGAGGAAAACAAGGAACTGAGAAGAAAAGAAGGAAGAGGGGAGGAGGAAGAAAAAAGGGAGGATTATGGAGGCTCCGCGGTCGACAGGTATCCTGAGGCTGTCGTCGATTTCGGCATTTCCGCAAATCGCATCTCTTCAAAGTGATACGTATACTTCTTTCCTCCACAGATCCATCCTTTTTGCATAAGCGTTGCGTGTGAATGGATAATTTCAAAAGACAGTCTAGGAACCGTGCATCGAAGGGTCCAGCATCGCTGTGTGAAACTCTTTGGAAGGGGGTCGTCCTTTTCGGCGGGGAGGGGAGGGTCGTATTTGGTTCGTTTGTTGAGGGGAGGGGGGGGGCGGGGGGGCGGTGGGAGTCGTATGCCTCATTAGAAAACGATGGGAAAAAATCTCCCGCGTTGTTGGTTGTCGTAAGTTTTCCTGTTTTCAAATGTTCAAGTTCTACATAACCCCCTCCACGCTCGACATAAAACGTCTTGGGGCAGAAGTAGGAAAATTTCGGGAAATCATGGAAAAAACTGGTAAAGCTTAGGAGAATCTCAGAAATCTTTCCCGAGTTACGTGGGCATTCCCAGTTCCCATTCTGCTAAGTGCGTTAGATTTTCCTGTTATTTAGCGATTTTATCACGGTAATAGTCCCTCCCCTGAATCGAACCCCCCCCCCTCCTTCCCCATCCTACCTACTACTTTTTTTAGGGGGGGGGGGGGGGGGGGGGGGGGGGGGCGAGGCAAGGGGGGGGAGGGGTGTGGTGGAGGGGGAGGGGGGGGGGAGGGGGATTTCCAGAACCTACGAAATTTCCTGCTTGCCAATTGCGAGAATTTCCTATTTTTCCCCAAATTTTGTTTGTCAATCAAGCGATGGAAGTTGGCGGGGGGGGAACAAATGAGCCAAATAAAGACCGCCTGTTAGCGCTCGTAGAACCAAGAAAAATCAACTGTTGAAAATTTTTCGCAGCGCTAAAACACGACCCCCTCTCCAGCGATCAGTTACGATCCCTCCCCGCTGGCGCGATTACCCAACATACGACGTGGTCTGATCTGCAAGCAGAGAGCATAACAACTCCTTACTTTCCTATTCCTTTTTCTTGAAATATGTCGTGCACGTACATATTCCTGCTAGTTGTTTGATGGGGCTGTCCCCCTTTTCCTCTATCTGCAGATCATCGGCCGTTTTCGAACTCTCGGCTGACGACAGCAGCTTGACAAAGCGCTCTGTCTGCAATCGGAAGCACGCATCGTGATCAAATACAGGCGGCATACCAGACAATTATCTATTCCGATAAAAGGCCATATCGCTGAAGGGAAAAACTACAATGTTTCCCGCTGTTTCGATAATTTCTTCCATTTTCTGCATTATTTAAACAACAGTTCACTACCATCTGTGGAGCAATCTAATTTCGGGGGTAGAAAGACTGCTCTAAAATTGGCGAATTTATTTTGACTCCGTGCCTACAGCACCGGCATAGGCTCTGCGGCAGTGCGATTCTTTCCCCTCCCCCCCCCTCGCCTCACCCTCCCAAACTTCACTGTTAAACCACAACACCCTCTTACAATATTCTTGCCATCTTACCGAATTCCTACCAGATGTGCAAAAATTCTGCCAACTATTTCCGAGAGGCAAAGTTACGTATAGCACGCGTGAAACGGGAGCTACGTACCACCAACCGGGACGATTTTCTTTGTGGTTCGGAAAGTCTTCTCTTGAGGCGAGGTACGAGAATGAACTGATCGCAAATGAGACTATCGCGCGTGAGAATATGAGGAGGCAAGAGCATAACTGCGCATTCGGGAGTAGAGTCAAATTTTTGGGGGTTGATCCCTAAACAAAGCATATTTGGTTGCTGATCGCATAGGTTGAGTCAGGTGTACCATTGTGGTTTCCTCTTTTTGCGCACCGTTCCTCTTGACTGTCCTGCGTAGGAGGAACCAAAAGGAAGAAGAATCCAATGAAAAACGCACCAGGATACGCCTGACTCCGCCTCATCGATCAATGTGGATTGTATTTGTGAATTAGGTTCATTTCAAACGGGCCAAAGGCGTGGCAGAGTACTAAGAAGGCTGTAGCGTAACTGAAAGACTACAACTCTAGAAGCTCTCTCACCTTAATAATATTGTATCTTGAAGGCATACTGCACGGTAATTTGGTATTTGGTCTAAACTGTTCGCAGGGTGCTATATAGTGGGGCAAATGGCGAAAAAACGGAGAGAACGCTCAAAAACCTGCAAAGAAAAGCCTTCATTCTGCTTCGATTTCGGACGGGTTTCCAGTAGGAATCGTGCCAGTAACAGCTACGGTATACCCTAAAGGCAAAGCTCGCGTCCACAGGTTGAGGGTAACGGAGCTCAAATACGAACGACTTAGTGCTAGATAACTGCCTATTCTAGAGAAGATACGAAAAAAAGCAGTCTGAAGGCAGTCTGAAGTGCCCTAAATAGGACTCAAGCCAACCCCAACTTGTACGTGCATGCAGTGAAGACAAGCCGTGTTTGTAAGACTTCCCACTCGTCGTTATCACTACGATATAGGCTCTTTCATCTTATCACCTCAGCTCAACCTCTCCATTCGAAATGGAGATTAACACAGTAGCTACTACCAAGTAGCTAGCAGCCGGTGGGGTCGGCATGGGCCTAAGGGGTGCCTATGGGCCTGATTGGTTGGCTTCCAGTGGAGCTCTTTCCTATTTTCACTTTTTGATAGTAGGAGCCTCCAGAATCGCCTTCCGGATCATCTGACACATTTGAGAGGATATAGTCTTGTTTTATTGCGGAAAGTACCTTAACCCTTGAACTACGCTCTTTGATTCCAA